CCACTAGTAGATGGAAGTGCAAATGTGCCCCCCAGCTATACATTGGTTTTTAATCACCAGAGCTATGTAGGTATTGTATGGTATTGTCTGCACTAAACCGTCTAAACCCTATTTAACCCATTGAAAGCCAACTTAGCCACTGCGGGGCACCACCTTGTAGATTTCCAAGTTCTTTGCATCACGAAGGAAACCCGTTTTTTTCAACCCTTTGTGGTATTTCTTCGGTCTATTCTCCGGCGAGCGATGAGGCCAGCACCCAATGGCAATCACCATCCGCTTGGCGGACAGCGATTCTTGTGATGGCAGCGGGACTTTTCACTTTTAGTAGCCCCCACAAGGGTAGAAAAGCAATTTAGCACTATGTACTCTAGTAACTTTAGTCAGTCGGAATTGACTTCTCTGCATTTTAGGGGAGTTCCTATGCTTGTGCGTGAACACACCCAAAAATAGTAAATGGCTTGCACTTTGGGCACTGTAGTTCCGGTAATGGTTTTGCAGGAATGAAGTCCACAAAACAAACACCAGGTACGGTAATATGCATATATACATATATATATATATATACAATATGAAGCACCACCTTGTGCCATCCTTCCGCCTAATGCTAAATAGCCCCCTAAACATGGTTTTAAAGGACTTCAATATTAAATATTTCATACGAAGGGGATTTGGTGATTTGCATCTGCCATCCAACACGGGGACGGGCTGGAGCGGCTGTTCCCTGTGCAGTTGGGCATTGCTCATGGCAATGGTGACACACATGAAAATGAAAGTTCTGGCAAAGCCAAGTGATGGATGCACAAAAGCCCATAGGGCTCATGTCCATGGAACTCGAGTAAGCTAGATCTGGAACTGGATGATAGATATTACTTATTTAGGTGTAAACGTATATTCGTGCAAAAACCAAGTCCGGCAAAGAAAATGGAACGGAACAATGAACGTTTATTGGGATTTTACAGAATTTGTGTCAAATAAAAAAAGAAGGACGAACTAGGGAACATTGCAAACCAGAGAGAAGCAAAACAAATCATGTAGCCAACCCTTAGACGTTGACTCACAACAACCTGGGGAATGGTGTATGAAACCAAGGCCTTGAACATATTTGAACCTCAGGCCAATGCAACAAACAAAACATCACACCAGTCCCAGCGCTATGCAAATGTGACACGTATGCAAATATTTAACCATATTTACAGAGCTTGGTGTTCAAAGCTCTTAATATCTATTGATGGGCATTTACGTTTTATACTTTATATTCGACATGGTTCCAAGCTAGAATGCCACAAGGCATCTGATTCCTTTCTGGCGCTTTGAACCGTGAAAAATCCGTCTGGCTAGAAAATTAATGTTCAACCCCTTCATAGCAACCTGTGATTCAAATGTCTAGTGTCGTGAATTTCTATTTACTTAAGAGCGGCAAGATTCCGTCAATTCAAATCATTGATCGCCAGAAACACCCAGCAACTGACTGAGAAACGGGGCACAGAAAACAGATTTTGGATCAAATTGTGGGAATCCACCTCCAATTCCAAACATACACACGTGGCACCACGTGGCCATGTACCTGCGGCCTGGTCACACTATGGAAAAACGAACCTGCGCCGTGGACATGCGCCAACAACCGGATTGTTTTGACATGTAATTGAAAAATGAAAATTGATAAAAACTATGTAACAAAACTAAGGTTGATAGTTGATGATGGTTAAAACTCGGAAACTTAACTCCGCAACTATACTTTCATAGGGATTCAAACCAACTCACTATAAGGGGCACTACCTTGATGCTGTTTGTCCGAAATGTTGACCAATCCACGTGTTAAAAAACTACTATGTATGTGTAGATGATAGGGAGACGCATGGAGACGCCAACCCGAAAGGATTCAGTTTTCGGAAATTTGGTTTATTTGATGCGTTTTGATTAGCATAATTTCCATTCACGCAGTAAGGGTGTCCTAATAATCCAACCAAAAGGATTGAGTAGCAACCCCACAAAGATAGAAAAACAACAGTTACTAGTACGTAAATAGTCGTATATCACTTTTCATGTAGCTAGAAAAATCTAAAATAAACATGCGAACCCGAGTGAGCCCCACCAAGAAAACAGGTTGCCATCCAACAAAAGCTCTTGTGCCAGGCCTTGCTTACCCTGAAAGTGCCGGTGTCAACAGACTCATCCAGACCTGGGATGCGCTTGGACTGGAAATGGAAGGGTCCTGAAATGGCTCTTGTTGGATTGATTGAATCGAAATTGTGACCGACACCATTGGCTGTATTTCATAACATGTACAGGGTTCCTGTATCTGTTCCCTTCAACTCGTTCTTGGAGAAACGTTTTTTATCGACGGACATATGATGCTTTGATCAGGAAACATGCAGTAACACACATACATAATTTTGACACACAGTTGAACTTGAAACGGAGTCTTAACACCGCAGGAAATGAACATCTTATCAAAAGCGAATATCACTAGATCAATTCCATACCCTGGATCAGGGTATGATTAGATCAGACCTAGCTTTCATATATATTCATTTATATTCATTTATAACATTTTTTTTACATTATTGTTTCATATATATCCTTTTATTTGTGTTTTTTTGTATTTTTTTGTTTTTGTTTGTTGGCATTTGTTTTTTCATGTGTTTTTCAGTTTTAGTTTATTTCAATTTGTTTTTGTTTTTTGTTTAATTTTGGTTTATCAGTTTTTGAACTACTACTCATCAGACTTTCTTGCCTAAAATACAACAGACACAATTGACTACAGCAGGCACAGGAGACAAAGCATCGTGTCCAGGCTGAACCTAGGCCAATCACAAACAATGAATCATCAATGAATCAGCGAAGCAAAACAATTTGATCTGGGTTTGCACTCTAAAACATGTTACGCCAGCTGACAACCATGATTAGTAGGGATCAGGCAAATCAGTTGTGCCAGTAGACCTCAGAAAATCAGGTCGCAAAAAAAAAGGTTTCCAGGTCTTGAAAAAAATCATGTCATCATCAATGATGCACAACTAATGAACAACTCACTGTCACAGTCGTTTTAAACCGCATAGGTGCAGCACTCACAAGAGTCAGTCAGTGTGTGAAAATGTCTTGCCAGCTGCTATCCAATCTAACAGTCAGTGAGTCAGTCAGTGAGTCCTGGGTCAAATTACAGCAGACCATCCACACAATGACTATTTTTTATTAATAGCAGACAGCAAGGCACACACAAGACTTGATTAGACACTGCCCCACTCATCTCGGCAAATGCGAGCTACAGCTCTGCCGAAGGAGCGTGTGTAAACTTGCGACAAAACTAAATTGTCCTTGTTTCCAGTGAAAGCATCGCCGTCTCTACGCACAAGTAATTCACCTCCACCAGCTGCCGGTCGTGGGCATTCCAAATCTGTGATCCTTGCCCAATTGGACCAAAGTTGAAGCTGTTTCATCGAGGAGCCACCAAATTGTCCCATGTATGTGGTGTGCTTCTGGGCTTGGCAGAAATACAGCACTGTAGACATTGATGGCATGTTGGGCAGGCAGCTGGAGTGTGGCTGCTCCAGGACGACCCAAATGGAGAGACAATGGGCAACAAACATCAACATCGCACTCAACTCTCCCAACGCGTTTCCTATGGAAACAAATCCTCTCGACTCATCACCTAACCACGAGTTGAAGGCGTTTCTCAATGATTGGGCTCTACATAAGACTACAAAAGACGAGCAAGGTGTCCCAAGCCACAGCAGAGCATGACGTCGAAGTGCAGTCAAGCAGTTGAGGACAAGTTCGAACCCAGAAGAGTCTAGCAAGTTGTGGTCAGCTGTATACTCACTGTCGAAGGCCGACCCTTTAAAGCCAGCTCGAAGCAGCTCCCGTGTGAGGTTTCCCACTCCTGAAAAGCATTCACAGAAATGATGCAATTCAGAGTTGCTCATTTGGTTCCGGTAGCCTCGCATGATCAACTTGAGCAGCATCATCTCAAGGGTCTGCCCAGGTGCTCGTTCACCAAAACATTGGTGAAGAATCCTTGTCCACAGCCGAGCAGCTCTTCCACCAGCCATGGCTGCATCACACTGAAGAAACCTTTCGATCATCTTGCTGAAGTTCTGGACAATGTCAAACTCAATGGGCAAGAGTCTCCTGTCATGGCTAAATCATTGACTAGCAAGAACAATGAAAATTAAAATGGTGTGATATTAACTTATTATTAACAAGTTACAGTAGGGCCCATATCATTAAATCAGTAGCATGCAACTAATCAGAAAACAAACTTGAATTTGGCCACCAATCCCCACCTCGGCAACTCTGACAAAGCTGAAAAGTATGACAGATCTCGGCAGCAAGCGTCCTTGAATTTTTCATCAACTGGATCTTTTTGTTCTTGCAAATATTGTCTTGGCCTCTGCTGAATCTCGGACCCAGTCTCCACGACAACAGACGAAGTCTCAGGAAGACGACATTGATTCGGTCGCCTCAGCATCTGAACCTTGTTTGTCTTCTTCTTTGTGCGAGACTTCTTTGTCGATGCCATCATCATCATTTGGTGCCAAAGGCTTAAAGTCATCAGAGTCATTGGAAACCAGCAGGGGGCAGGAGTCATGAGCATTGGGGAGCGCTTCATGGCGATTCACTGACGGGACACCAGGATACAGTAGACTGAAAATCTCATCGAGTGAAGTTTGTCAGTTTTAGTATAGTCATGATGTGTAGTAGTCCAATTGCGTATGAATGAATTGGTGCATATTGATGATTAGCTTTCACATGACTCATTCATGTCATTTGATGTACCAGTCAATGGACGGCTGCGAGGCATTTCAGGATCCAAGGTGTGTCCAGTAAATCCTCTCAGAGTCTCAGAGAATCTCAGGTTGACTGATCGAAATATCAGTGATTCATGTAAAAAGCTTGAGACCAACAAACGGCTGACTTCTTTTTTCCAGTCTTGTTGGCGTGCGACGTTTGGCTGCAAAACTTGTCTGTACAACAGACAGGACAGTGGCACTGAGTCTTGGACTTCAGTATCTCTTCTTTGGAGGCATCCTTTCAAATTGAGGTCTGAGATTTTCAATCAGCTGTGGAACAAGAACACCTCCCTGTTGCTCCACTTGCCCTTCACAAAGTTTCAACTGGTCCCTAAAGGGCCTCATGGAGTCATGGTCTTTGATTTTTTTCCACGTTCTCCATGCATGCTCATGCACGAGCTCCAACTTGAGCTTCCAATCCGCTTCATTCTTGTAGTCGAACGACTTGGACCAGGAAGAGAGGCCAAATGCTTTTGGCCACTTCTCTGTCCAGCGGTGATCATTGCCTGAAATGGCAACCAAACATTTGACTTTTGTCTACTGTAGTCTAGTGTGAATCTGTTGTATAATGTATTCATTGCCTGTTGACTGTTGTATTGTCCATATTCATAAATTGTCTGTTGTATTCATAAACCATCTAGCATGTAATTAATAGCAGTGGTAATTTACCAGTTTGAGTCTGCTGTGTCATTAAATTGCATGTCTGCTGTAGGAAAAAAGTCAAACCAAGTCAAGTGTGTGTCATGACGAGTTGTTTGTCTGATGTAAGTGGTCATACTTGAATGCATAAATAAAAAGTCAGTCAAGGTCAATTTTAGTGAGAGCCAAGTTGCAATTCAGGTGGATTGAACAGCTGGGCGGCGTAATCAAATGGAGTTCATCAGGGGTTCGGTGAACGTTTGGCCCTCGTGCTGATGAAGCGGCATCAGCGGCAGGAGTCTCACTGGGAGCATCTGGCCCGGGCTCCGGTGCAACAGCAGATTGAGACATAGCATCTGCATTTTCACTGGCCACTGCTGGCACAACAGCAGCAGGCTCACTCTCAGCAGTGAAGAGGTCAAGCGAACCAAGTTGACTACAGCAGACTACAGAGACATCATCACTTGCAGCAGCTGCTGCATCACTGAACTGCATTGGCATTTCAACATCGGCCGGGGAGGGCACTGGATCGACATTAGGAGGATCGATTTCCATGTTAGCATCGTCGTCGTTGTCAATCTTGGGTGTAGCTGGAGCAGCACTGTCACCTTGATGAACTTGTTGAGATCCCATTGGCGATGCTTGATCAGAGTCAACACCATTGAAGCTTAACCTCCTTCGGAGGGCAGAATTCTCAGACTGGGCCGCTCTACCTTTACCTCTTCCTTTTCTGCATCCTTTCCCTTTGCCTTTTCCACGTCCAAGGGGCAATCGACCTTTTCCACGTCCACCACGGCCCTTGCCCTTGCCCTTTGCCTTTTTTCGTTCATTGGCCTGCAGGGAAATGAAGTTTGAGTCTAAGTGAGAGCGACTTAAATCAACAATTTATTCAAGAAATCAACTAACCCAGCCTCTTTTCTCCACTGCTGCCATTTCGATGCAACTGCGTCTTTCTCTTTCTTCTTCATCGAAACTCGAACGTCATCCCATTCAGCTGCCTCGTCCTTGTCCATTGCCTCCAGGACAATGCCAGCAAGGTCATCAAAGTCAGTTTGGTCAAGTTTCCTTTTCTTTCTACAACAGACAGACTCCAAGACTTCCTCAGCAAATTCTCGGCCCCCAACTTCAGTCGCCAGGGCTTTCAGAAGATCATGCCGAGTCATGGATCTGGTTCGGGACATGCCAAATGCATTCTTGGCCAGGAACTCGAGGTCACGGAAAAGCAGAGCCTCAGAAGACTGCTTGAGCAGAACCTTCAAAGCCGACCCCCATTCGCTAATCAAAATGCCGACGCCAACACCAGGTAAGAATGATGGTTCCAAAATCCCCGCTTCCAAATTCTCGACATTGGTCACAAATTTCCAGTACAGTCTTCCGGCTGGATCCAGAATGTAGTAACCATCATCTTGAACCGGTTGGAGTGGCCATGCCAGAATTGCCCATCGAAGGTTCGACACACAGGCAAAAACAACATCAGGCTCATCTGCGGCCTTGAATGCCATCCCTGGCTGCAAGGTGATGCACATCCGAGCATCCTTGGTCGGTGTGGATTGGATTTCCCCAACAAAACCAAAACAAAACAAAACAACTAAGTCAGGTAAGTCGTCCTCAGACAAATAACCAAAACAAAACGACTAACAACAAAATCTGACTGACTCAAAAAATTGAGAATCTCTCAACTTGATGCCTTTGCTTTTGAAGTCCTTGGAGATGTACTCCCGCATCCATGCCCATGCCGAACTGGACAAACTCAAGGCTTCTTCACTGATTGTCCGCCAAGACTTTTTGCCAAGCATTCGTGAAAAGTACTTTGGGAGCTTCACCACTCCAGAGTCCAGTGAAACCTTGAAGTTGAAGTTGTTTGGAGTGACCTTCCAACGTTCAAGAAAAGACTCTTTGTCTAATCTGGCTGGATGTGGGATTTGTCGGGCTTCGAGTTGTCCCGAAGTCTGCACAAGCCCTTGCAATTCCCTTGGGAGAAGTCTGTTGTTGGGATTGGCCATGGCTTCAGTCCGAAGACGTTGATGAACATCTTCCACCACCTTCGTATCTGGCAATCTGTACAACAGACTCTTCAAGACTGACAAAGACTCTTCTTTTCGGCCACACTCCATCAGCTGAAAGGCCAATCTCAGAGGTTTTGAAATGCTATCACGCATGTCGGCTGCAAGCTCTTGGGGCGCTTGGCCAGGCGAAGCTTCCAGCAGCCTCAACGCACGCCAATCGGCAATCATGAAGTCCATGGATTCTTGAGCACATTCAGGATCATCACCAATGGCCGGTGCATAGGCCTCAGGACCTGAAGCATGCTTCGACATAGTTCTTCCTCGGAAGTTCAAAATCTGCATGATGTATGCCCATAAGCACGACACAAATCCAGCGAGATGCTGGTCAGCTGCTTCCTCACCCAGAAATCGAACAGACAAGGCAGCATATGCTCTGACTTTTTCGAACTCTGCTTCTTGGACAAGGACACGAACCAGCTGACTGAATTGCTCGGCCTGCATCCAGCCATTCCCAAACCAAAGCAAGTTTCTTTGAAAACCTTGTGAAGCATCTTTGACTGTCTTGACTGATTCAGTGTAGAACGTCCAAAGTGGTTGGTCAGCCAGCTTGATGGCAGTGATGCCATACCACGTTTTCCAGCTGCAGCACTGGAGAACTAGCCGCAGCCCCCCAACGGAATCGCCACCTGATCTCATCTCCTTGAAACTCTTTTGGTTCTGATCAGGGTCAGTCTCATTGGGAAACCCAAACTCCAGGAGCATTCTGGTCGACCAAAACTCATGATACTGGCTTTCGCATCCATTGTGCCAGCTGAACCAGCGTCCTGTTTTCACAACGCCCTTCTTGATTCGGTAGGAATCCAGCTGAGTTGCCAATGAACTGAAAAGAACTTCCATATCGTCATTGGTGCGAAACGTGAAGTCAAAGTCCATGGCAATCAGTTCAGCATACTGCAGGAACAAGTCGGATTCCTGCCGAAGGTTTGAACGAAACACTGACTAAGAATATCTAAGAATATAATACTGGCTTGAAACTTTATTTTGTTTATTTTTTAACCAAAGTATTTTAAACATTTCGACGATATAATGAACCACACAGTCCTGGGTTTCCGTTTCCATGAACGTGTTCAGAAGGCTTTTTTTCTCATCGTGAAAGCCAGCTGTTTTGAAGGGCTTGTAGTTGATGCTGAACATGTAACTTCCACACAACTGCCCTTGTTGAAGTTGAAGCTTGACATCAGGAGGGCAATTTGTAGTTGCCAACTTGAGGTCTCTCACCAGTCTATGGTATGGGTCCCAATAGAAGTGAGTCATTGCAGCTCCAGTCTCCATCAAGAATGCTGCGCATGCCATTCCGACAGTGCCCTGGTCCATCCCAATCACAAGCATGGGCAACTTTGCCAGAGACAGCAGACTTACAGCAGACTCTTCTTCACCATTTTTTTCACATTTCTCACAAAATGTCCAGTAACAACTCGGGTCGCATCAAGCGGCACTGGTTCAAGGGCAGCTTTCATTTCCTCGGGGGCCAGAAAGCTGGTCAAAGTGAGTGTGTGGTCGGTGAGCAACTGGATCTGGTGCGACAGTGCTTGGAACATCCGGTATGCTGCCATACGCAAACGGCTCCCTTCTGCCAAAAGACGTTCCACAGTCGAGTCACACTCGATTTCCCCTGGGGAGACAAATTTCGAGGACCTCAACGATTGTGTTGGTGGATAGCAGCCAATGTCGTTGTGTCGGCTGTAGGCAACACTCACCAAGCACTCATAGACACCATGCCTGCTAGCATCACAGACCATGTTCAGGTGCCGGACATCTTTGAAGCCCAGAGTGGCACGTCGGCTGTACATTCGCATGATCTTCTTCAGCCAATGGCTTGATGTATTTTGGCAAGCACCACCCTCTGCATCATTTTGTCTCGATCTCACCAGCATGGACAGGCTTAGCCCATTGATCTCCACTGAATCATTGTAAAGCTTCCAGATAAAGTTCAGATCTATCTGGGTTCTGCCCTTCCTCGGCTTGGGACCTTGTTCATTTTCATCACCACCTTCTTGATCCATGATCGGATCAGCATCTTGTTGTTGGTCCTCAGTCAGTCAGTTGTCTGACAGGAGCTGAAAGCCCAGTTTTTGCATTCAAGAGGGGAAACGACAAAACACAATCAAACAAAACAACAAAATATTCTTCAAAAAGTGAAATCGAGGGTCGCGACTTGCAAGGCGTTTCCGGCGGGATGGAATGAGACGGTTTTCAATGCCATCCACAGTTTGTTGAAGGTGACGGGAATGAAGAGAGACAGACGCTGCCAAAAACTTGATCACAGCCCACAATGCCTGGCTCCACACCTGAGTCATCCCAGCTGACCAGGCCTTCTTTTTAAGATGTCTCCTGAAACGTCGCACAGTTGCCAAGAACAACACAACGTCTATCATGGTTGCCTGACGAAAAGGAGTCCTCAGTCTGTTGTCCTCCTTCATGTCACCCCAGGCCAAATCCATTGCATCCTTCATGGACTTATGACATTGGAGGCACTCATAGACATTGCATACACCAGACGCATCGAATGTCAGCCGGGAACCATCCTCCATGTAGCAGTGTCCACCACCTTGATGCAGCACTTGAAGACTGTTCAATGCAATCTTCTTCAAGAAGGTAACAGCGATTGCAGATCTATCGTCTATCCTGGAATTTTCTGCCATATTGACAAGGCTGTGGACAAGTCCTCCAGAGGAAACTGCACTTGCATCCAGCATATTTGCACCCAACCTGATTCAAAGGACATCATTATTATATCATACGGCTGGCAGTGTTTGAATTGACAAAAAAACAACACACAAAAAAAAAACAGTTTGACTGACCCCTGTTCCCCAGCCTGTCAATGCCAGGTTTCATGTACATGGAAACTCCAAGATGTCTGACAACTTCACTGTCATTCAGCTTCTTCCCAATAATCTGACAGAATTTCGGGAAGGGTTCCAACTGAAGTTCGTCTGGAAGTAGCCCACATAGGTTGTCATGTAAGTGACCAAGGCTCCAATAGAACTCCCCGTCGTGTGCATATGCAACAGCAGTTGGGAGCATTTCTGCCAACTCTGAAAAGTAGTAAGCCGGAGCTGTGGCAGGCAATCTGATGCCAGCATCTTCATCCGCCATGGCTTAGCCAGAAAAGGATGATTGATGTTGGAAACAAACAAAAACATGTCTTGAATTTGACACATTCTGGAACCTCCATCAGTGACTTCCAAACAAAATCTGACATTGACATTCTCTGATGCGACATCCTCTGTTGGTAAGTATATACAAAAGACGACGACGACGATGCTAGATCCAAAATTCAGCAAACACCACATAGGACTGACACATCACTGAAACCACAAGAGAAACTACTCTGCAGCAGCATCCTTGAACGAGCTGAGCTGTTGGTAAATTCACTGCCGCAAACGATTGGCCACAAATGTCTTTTTCGTCTCATCCAAAGTCCCTGCTCTAGCACAGTAATGAGGCAATCAATCCTCACCACTGACATTAGACAGGACATCAGACACACAGGCAGGGCATTTCCACTGAAGACAAAAGACGATCGAACCACTTGACAATCGTCTCACTAATTAATTTGATAAACTGTCACATTTCCAAAAACCTCACACAGCAAGGCCATGCTGGCTCATCTTCACACAGGTGCTACTAAGCCATCCCTTCAGCTACTCCCCAAAACGAGCTAAACTTCAGGCACGCTCCTGTCACCTTGAGACAGACGGCATGGACGCACTCACTCAAAGGTGTTCTGGGCCACCTCTTCTTCTGCAGCTGCCAGTACAGCAGACTCGACCGGCTCAGGAAGATCACCTTGCTCTGGCAGAGCGTCATCACCATTCCTGATTGAAGTCAAAACACTTTGCAATGTCTGGCACAAGTCAAGTCAAAAGTCAAGATTTGGCAAACACATGAATCGTGAGAAGTCTTCTGTATGTCAATGATGTCTTTTGTATGTCTCTGAATACTCAAAAACATGTGCAGCTTGAAGATGAATCAAACATCCAGAGTAAACCCCATATAAATATATAAAAAACTATTCAGCTGTTTATCAAGGCTCATCGGGTCAGGAGCCTCCACGTTCACTGGGCGACAGCGGTGAGGGCAATCATTTGGGCCCTTATTCGCACACACCCGCCACTCGCTCAAGCACTGCTGGTGAAATGTGTGCGTACACCAAAGTGCCTCACGAACCTCATCATGCCCCATCACCGACTGGCAAATCACACACAGCACACCTGCTTCTGGCTGTGATGGCATTGCAGCTGCAGCAGCCTTTGCAGCAGGAGTCGGAAGGATTTGTCCTTCAGGAGACAAGATCGGCCGAGGAGGCGGTGGCACAGGGGCAGTCTTGGCCACAGGATTGGAGACACCAGACGACATCAAACCGACCTGGGTCCAACCAGCATCATTGATTCACATTGTCACATGGTCAGATTCAATTCATGATGCAACAAAACTAAAACCATTGACAATCCAAACACCAACAACAAAACTAACAACAAAAGAGCTAAATAGTATTCCAAAACCAACTCCAAGAAACAGGAGAGCCAGACTTCGGGCTGATCGAAGCACGAGGAGGCGGTGTCATCATGGTGGGTCCCAGCGGAGGTGGCATCAAAGGGTTCATCAAAGGACTTGGCATTGGAGAGGCACCAGATCCTGCAAACATGGCTGCCAAATCGCCAGACTTGGGAGGTGGAGCTTTTGGACGTCTCTTGCTCGTGTTGAACCAGGAGTCAGACCATCCCATATCGCCAGCGATGGACTGCAAAGTCTCATCAGTGAGAACAAGTCCAAAGCGGTTGGTCACCTGGGCCTGGAAGACTTCAGCAGTGACCGCATCCTTGATCCTGCGGTGAGAGGACACCATCCTTTGAGTGAACTCTTTGTAGGTAGTCACACCTCAGCAGGCTGACTCACACAACAGAGGCAATTAATCATCATTGGATGACTTGACATACACTAATAAATAAGCAACAGTGAGTGAGAGCAAACACAATCACTAACACTCTGACCTAACACAATCTAGATTTCCCACAACACTTTAACTAACGACGAAGTTGCTGATTCTGAATCATGTCTGCTGTAGTCATGGAAATAAATCAGCTCTAACACTCACACTGTCAAGTCAAAAACTCAACAAAGTTGAACTCCACTCTGCCAAGAAACGGAGGTCACTGATTTTTACACACGGCTTTATGCGGCAGAAGAGCCAAAGCAACATCAGCAAGCCATCCTGTGTGAGCTCAGCCGTGACCGCCGCATCAAGCTCTGCCCCCGAAAGCGTCTCCAAAGTCTCCCCCAGGCGGTTGCGGGGCAATTGCCGGACATAGGTCACAGACCTGCTGATGAGGCCTGAGTCCTGGGGAGCTGCCAAGGCTGCAGTGGCAGTGGGGTCATTCTCCACTACAGCAGACATTGCAGCAGACGACGATACAACAGATGACGACCCGACACCAGACACTGCAGCAGGCGCAGCCTTTGCCAGAGGTGGCACAGCCTGTTCCTCTTCATCTGATTCCTCGGCACCATGGTGTGGCATCGTCATCGGAGGCATCATCATCCCTCCCATCATTCCTGGCATCATGCCATTCATCATTCCCGGCATCATGTGTGGAAGCATCATCATTGGGTTGGCTCCACGGGCTTTCTTGTTGGCTCTCAAGGTGGACACGGCGACCATTGCAAACAAAACAGTTCGAAGGCGGTACACCAGACAAGAGAGTGAGACAGTGAGAGGACAAACGACTGCAGCAAATATTTATATATATATATATATATATGTTACATGCTTTTCACAAGGCAATCAACAAAATCATAAGGCAAAATCAAGCGACTGCTACACAAGACAATCAATGAGTGAAACTGTGAGAGAACAAGCAAATATATCAGCA